CAGGAAAACCTTGTCTGAATTTAAAAAGGAAGAAAAGTATTGTCACCGCATCATTGTTTTTATAGTCAGGAATGACGACTTTCCTGTTGAATTCCAACAGAATACTGGTGCCAGATAGTTTTGTAAGACATTTAACATACATTAACAAGAGATGCAAAAAAATCTTTATCTAGTCTACTTGTTTAAAATCTGTTCTTTGTATAAATTAAAATTCTAGAATCTTGAAAATTCCTAATTTTCTGTCCTGTTTTACATTCCTGTATAAAAAGCAGTCAATTTTAAGTCTCATTATGACTACCTTTTCGAGTCTTCTGTCCCCCTGTTCCACAATCGGTAGGCTTCCTCTTCTTCCATTCCTAAAGGATCCACAAAAGATGGCTGCCAACTAGCTCTAACCAGCATGTTTTGCTATATTCATATTTTTTGACCATGTTGTGAACATTGATGAGTGACCCACGTTGCTTGGGCAGTAAGTATTTTCAATTTTAGTTCTTTGATATTATTTGTTTGTTTTTTTTCACTAAATTCACTGTATTTCTTTTGTTCAACTTGTGTTAATGTTTCAATTTTTTCCTCCTTGATAGAGACCCACTGAGGATGGGAAAAGTGTTTCCCAAAAGTTAACTCTGGGTAATAGTTAATAAAAATTATTAAACATTTTGTGGACGATTATTTCCACTACCATATTTTTGATTAAGGTACTTAATGATATTAATAAAGACATTATTATTATTATTATTATTATTATTATTATTATTATTATTATTATTATTATTATTATTATTATTATTATTATTATTATTATTAATGATACAAAATGAATAAAAATTGCTGTCTGTAGACGCAATTAATTCAACATCCATTAGATATCATTTTGAAAAATCGAACTACAAAAACGTTGGCAATAATTGCAAATCATATGCCAATTGTATGGGAACCCACTTATAAATAGAACCTAGGTTTTGAATTACAGTAACTTAAATACGCACTGTGTATTATTAAATGTAATTTAGGTATCTTGCAATTATTTTATGCCTTACGTTTTTATCGATCAACCATCAAATTAGTTAACAACCGAACTTCGGTACCTAACGAAACCCCTTTCCTCAGGGGAATCTCCATTTTTCCTGCCATGTTTCATTTCATTCTCTGCTCCATCATCATTCATCACCATTGACCGATCCTTCTTTCCTACTTTCTCTTCCCATTGGACGGGCAGAGAACCGATCACTCATCTTGCTTGCCCGTTTCCAATCAGGGATTTTTCCGAGGGTTAATACTGTAGGTTGATATCATCTCTTCAAGGAATGTAAAAGACTAGATGAAAAACAAAGATGTCATATGTACAAAGATTTGTACTAACAAAATTATCGATAATGAAACCGCGCATGCTGCGAAAAAACACAAGCACAGATTGGGCACATAAACACATTTCCTATCGCTGTACCAGGAAAGAAAAGCACAGGCTGGCCAAGTTTGCTAGAGGGAATACGTTATGCTCGACACAAGTCTCCCTTACCGTCAAGCGGGGATAATAAATAACTAGTGATGATACAGAATGGCACAGACCTTCCCGTACTAGTTTTCTATTTCCTTTGGTCTCAGTCAACTATTCAAACTTGCCCCATATTCTTTCCTGCTGCCATCTATCGCCGTCCAAAGTACATTTTTTGACATTTTCTTAATTTTTTGGTTTCGTAATTGTAGAACGGAAATATTATTTTAAGATTATTAAAGTACAATAAACCCTTATCCTAAATGGCAATTATCGTTGAAAAATTCGGAGCAGTTAAAAACACTGGCGCTTTGTAGGCGCTACTGAAAATTCGAAATTTAAACTCTTGTTCACAAAACATTTTTGAGTTTTATCAAAACATAAGTTAAAGTCATTTAAAGTACTTTAACTCACAAATACAAAAGTGTTTATAAATTGCTGGAAATCTGCACATCAACGGCGTGAGATATCTTTAAAAAATGTACATTTATGTAATTTTGAAAAAAAATAAGACACCGAAATTAACTTTACGACATATTAAAGGGTATAATTATTACTATCCGTTCGAAATGTTTGAAGAAAAAATTTTGACCCGTTTTTGGGAAAATGGCCTTTGAGTGTTTCTAAAAATGCAGTCTTGAGCTAGTTTTCACAGAAAACGGTAGAATTTTCGAGAAAATTACGGCATTATTTAAAGCACATGTACTCATAAATACAATAATGTGGACAAATTGCCTCTAAAATAAATATTAACGACCTGAGAGGCCATTCAAAAAATTAAATTTTTATAATTTTTGAAAAAACAAAAATAATAAGCAATAAAACGTTTATGTCATTTTACAGAGTACATTTAGCAGTATGCCTAACAAAAGTTTGAAGAAAAAAATTTTAGCCGTTTTTGCGGAAATCTTTTTGTAATTTTTTAAACTTGAAGAAATTGTACACAATATTGTGCGAAAAAACTAAAATATTCAAAAAAATGACCTTAATGAAACAATTCACTAAGGAAAACAAATTTTATTGGAAGGAAAAATCTCTATCTTCAATTCTGTAGTTGGTGGGAAGACACCGAAAAATATTACTTTTGAAATTTTCGAAAATTCTGAGCTAACTGTAAAAATCGGAGCTACGCCACCTTTATAAGTCAATATTACTCTATTCTTACAAGAATTTTAAAGAAAAAAATTTAGCCGTTTTTGAGAAAATTTTGAAAAAGTCCGGGGGCTTCATGTATAATACCCCCAAATTTTAAAGATTTTTTTTTAATCTCAAAGATTAGACTCTAGCCAGATCGTGACGGTTTCTTCAATTTACAAAAATCCTGCGCATGGTTTAGGCACGAATAGTGTTCACAGATACCGGACGGACGGACTGACGGACAGAGGACGTTTAAAAAAACGCTATTTCGGTATCAGGGGGCCTCAAAACGTATTTCTGTCGAAATCTCGAAATCGATTTTCCGCCGCATTACATAACTTTCCCTATACTACGGGAAAGTAAAACAGGGCCCGGATTTGGGAACACGGGTAGCTGGCAGAAGTCGGAAGAATCCGAAACTAAAATGCCAAATAGATACCAAAATTTAAAATCTGAAGTTAGTTTGGGACTGGAGTCTGAACGTCTGGTGCAGTGAAACGTGTGTCGCAGTGGAACGTGTTGTATTTTTCTGGTGCGCTCTTCATCATCTGTTATCTTTTCTTTTGTCAAAAATATCGTTGGTAGCCCTGGGCAGTAATTCCTTACTAAATGAAATACACTTACGGGATTTGGTGTAGATGTTTTTCCTTTACATTGTATATAGAGAGAAGATAAAATAACAATGAAATCTGTAATATTGTTTGATACATGAATGTGTACGCATGAATATTGTGTTTAATTACACTATGTATAGTATAACAGCAGGGAATAAATCACTCTACAAAAAGTATAGATATTAAATACTCATTTAGGCGGACATGAATAGATTTACTCGAGTTGTAATAACACAGATAACAAATTATTCTTTACTTACAACATTTCTTTATTTATCACGTCCACCGGTAGTCAATGCAACAATGTCAATGCAAACGTACTTCTCAGACTGCAATCCAGTGTAAAGTGCTGTTTTTATGAACATTGTTTAATTAGTGCAAATTGAGGACATATTTTATGACAGCTTACTTGAAAATGCAGTAGCACAGAATATTTGTTTCTTACTAGTGTTATATACCGTGTGCAAATACCGTTACTTAATTAACACAGCATATATTCACATCAATATGTAGCTTTTAGTTGCATTAATGCATATAAAAGTACGGCTATTAAACTTAACGTTCAATCAAGAAAATACTTATGTGATCTAGTGTGACATTCGTGTTTACAGTTATGCCGATCGATTGGGAACGGTAATGATTTACATGTTTATCTTTAATATTACTGTGCAACTGCACGTATTTATCTGTAAATTTGAGTGTACCTCACATTTGTATGTCGTTGAAAACGCCGATTAAGAAAATTTTCCTATTTCACTTTCAGTTTATAAAAAATGTTCAGGTTGTAAAAAACATCCTGCACATTTGTAGTTAAAGTGACACATTATTTTATACAACAATGCAAAAACATGTGGGATGGTAACTCGCTGGACAATTCATGAAACATGCAACAGCAGTGCGACATGCTAGAAGATGCGAAGACGTTCCTCGAGGTGTAACAATTCCAGCACTGCATCTAAAACACGTAACAAAATAGTTGAAAAGCGCTTTTGTAGTGGCGGACACGCTCTTAGAACGCCACTCGTAGCTGCGAGGACAGCTGTCCCCTCGGTTCCTCCCAAGGCTTCCACCTTCCGCTTTTCTGCTCTCCTCGTCTCGCCGTCGCAACCTGACGGTACCTGCTACCACTCTCACAACCTCGGTTTCCGGTCGATCCTCCGCCAACACTCGCGCCATCAGGGTTTTCCCGCCAGACCGGTGCCTGCGCGACTGGTTCATACCTGGCAGATCGTCCGAAAGGCCGCCCGCTAAAGCACGGGCCGCTTCAACACCTGCTCTTTAGCACACGCAGGACTGCACCCACCCCGATGCAGCCCACCCCGACTGACCGCCCGACTGCACCCGCCCGTGCACGCGCCCGATGCCCGCCCTTCAGACCCGTTCGCACAAACCACTCGTCAGTCACCCCGTCGACATGGCTCACCGCTGGCCGGTACTCGTCCGGACAGGCTCCGGTCTTTTTCACTCATGCTTGGGACGCGTCTCTATGTAGGGCCTGTTTGGGATCCGCCCGCTTCCTACCAAAAAGCCTTTCCAGAAGCGGGTACGGCAGGCGAGGAGGGAGAAGTGGAGAGGGCGGACTGGGGCGGGGGAGCGAGCGGCAGGAGCGGGGTCGGGTGAACGCGGCGAGGAGTGGAGCTGATGCGCTGGCGTGGGGCGGGGGGGGGTTTAGCTGAGCGGCGCCGCGCGGCGCAGGGCCAGCGGCGCCAGCCCACCCGCCACAACGCGACTAAAGCGATCTACGCCCCTGGATGATGTGGTCGGCCTCGGGTCTGGCTTGCAGGGGCGGCGTTGGCGTTGGTTCGGCGGCAGGTGCAGAGGCGGAGGCGGAGGCGGAGGCGGCGGTGGCGACGGCGGCGAGGGCGTGGGCGTGCCCTCGGGGCCCGCGGGGGCTGCGACTGCGACTGCGACTGCCGCCGCGCTGCGCACTGGCGCTGGCGCTGGCGCTGGCGCTGGCTGGCTGGTGCGTGCTGACTGGCGCGGCCGGCGTCGAAGCCGGCGGCAGCCCGCAGCCCCTGCAGGCGCACCAGCTCACGCAGCCCGCCCAGCAGCAGCAACAGCAACAGCAGCAGCCAGCACCACTCGCAACGCCGGCGGCGCTCGTCGCCACCGCGCCCGGTGAGTCACACGGAAGGGCAGAGGAGGGTAGAACGATGCCCTCCAAATACCCTGTTGGAAAATAAAATTATTTTATTGTTGGGTATGATGCCCTCCCTGTTGAACTACAACAGAATAATTGACAACTTGATTCCAGATAGTTTAATAAAAAATAATCTACTAAATGCAAAATGTGCACGTAACTTAGAATTATGTTATAACACGCAAGAATTTTGAGCATTATGTAACAGTATTCAACTATTATATTGTTTCCAACAGAGAAATTCAACATGTACTGATGAAATTATCTAATGACCATCTGACCCCCTCCCTTATTTGAATGTGTAAATCCACTCCTTCGTTGGTTGCAGAATGAACGTCTACTTGCGACATTGACAGATAATTCGAACTTCGCCAACCGCAATGGGTTGAGCTTCTTGTCCTTTGAGAAAAAGGGGGTCTCTTTTCTATGGAAATTGAAAACATATTGGCGAACAAATATTGATTATATTCGACAGTACATCAAATATATGAACATAATTTTTAGATTATTTATGGTTCAGAAGGAAATTTGTACGTTAAAATAATTTTCGAGTATTTATCGAGGCTTTGAGAAAACGATTCAGGGAAAGTGAGATGATATTTGAAGGTTCCTAAATAGTTTTAATTCTACGGCAATTTGCCCGCGTTTGAATAGACATTCTAGGGAGTGATTTCTTAGCTGCCGTTATCTTATGTAGCCGTAAAAGCTTTCACAAAAGCATTTGACTTTATGAAGCAACTGTCAACCAATTTAATTCACCGAATTTATTGAACTCGTAATTTAATGCAATGTTTTGTTAAGTACGTAACTTTTCTTCCACAAAAAGTGGATTAAATCATTGTAAGCGAAGTTATTACCTTTAATTATAGATTTTAATCTAACAGTTTTTGTCATAGTGCGATATATCGAATGTGTCCTCACGATCATTTTAGTTAAACGTTTGAATTCTTCAATGCTAAGGGTTTAAGTATACTTATTCATTAAACAGGACCGATAAGATCATACTGATATTAATATTGCTTTTGCAGAAATAGGTTTAACCTATTTCTGCCCGACAAAAGTACTTCATAGTAGCTGTCGAAGAAATATCTAATTCTCAAAAAAGCCCATGAGCTAGTGAACTATGTTGGTATTCTGGTGAGTTTCGTTGGTGTTTACAATGAAATAATTATGATTGATGATTAAACAAGATTGTTGGCAATGATAACTCATATAAATATTTCATAGTTAACTGTGTTTTAGCCCGTTGTGAGAGATTTAAAAAAATGTAAATTGATTTTTTAAGTCTTTGTATTGATAGCTGATATTCCTTAAAATCTGAATAAACGGATTAAATACAAAAAATAGTTCAAAATTTCAACTGCGTATGACAAGAAGTTGCCAATTATATTTTTAATCTTTTAACTTGGCTTATTGTTTTTGCCTTACGCAGGATGACTATATCATAATTGAGGGGATGTTTGCTCTTCGTCACGGCCCTCGAGTTCTTGGACCACACGCCGCGCCATTCAACACAACTTACCACACAGGAGATATTGAAGATTATCTCCACCGACGTCCATACCATTTTGGCTCCGACAAAACTTGTTTTGACTCTCCTTTATTAAAATCTTTTCATTGTTAGATATTCATTGAATCTTCGTTATTGTACGTCGATTGTTTTTGCATACTGTCGTTTTACAAAACACACATAAATGTCAGAGAATATCTTACTGGCCTGAACATGAGAATTTACTGAATCATGTGATAATACAGTTTGATATTTGAAAGTAAAGTCATGCAATTCTCTATCAGTTACATACTGTATTCATCTCTTAAATATGCCTTTCTATTTCTTTGCAAAGGTCTCAATTCTTTAGGTTAAGTGGTGAAAGATATGGAAGTGTTGATACCAAGCGATGAAAATGGGGAAATTTCTGCACCAAAAAGGAACTGAAATATCTCATGAGAAACACCCACAACGCCATGTGATTGTAAGAGCGGAACCGCAACTGAGCGGATGGACTTTTCAGTCGCTCGACAGGAAAACACTATACGAACTCCGCGGAGCTCTTAATTTGAAGCACTGAATTAATTGTACAAAATGGCGCAAATTGTCCACACATGTCACAAGAAGAGTCATGTCATCAAACGGCTGTGATAAAATCACAAAATACACTTCCCAGTTGTCTTGTAATCTTGTACAACACACTTCTGTTTCTACTTCGAACACATGCAAAGTTCTCGAATTAAAAACTTTCTCGTGTTAAATTCATCGATTAGTTAATTGCGATGTATTCGTTCGTTTTGGATTTGAAGTGAATGGTTCACTCATTTTATTAGTATAAATTTACATTGGAGAAATAAACCAACTACAGGAATATAAATGATGCATTTTGAAATAGTTACCTGTACACCTAAAATCTCGAGATATGACACGATCGCACATTGATTATTTAACATTGCTGGGTGCATAAGTCGTGAGATAATAGTTCCCCTTTTCAACGATTGTGACGTTCAACACAACGAAAATTCGTTTCCGTAAATATTTCTATTTTTGGGTTTCACTGTTTACAAAGACTTATTTTGACTCATCATGTTCATGTTAATAGTGAGTTGGGGATTTATTTAGTAAAATGCAAATAAATCGGTGAAAATCTGTGCAATGTGCGGCACATACACACCTCAAATTTGTATTTCAACCCGACGTTTAATGGGTATTCTCGTATTACGCGTAATAGCTCTTATAAGCACCTGAAGCGTACTGTGTCGTATTTAGTTATGTAAATATTCATTTTACATTAATAGGCTTTGCAATGTCTTTGCAATGTTTTCACAACTTAAATGTTAAATAATTTTTTTGTTTACATTTTTGAATGGAATATTGATCAGGTAACATCAGGTACATGGACTTTTCTGGCACATTTTTACTTGCCAACTGAACGGGGACCAATAAAGTATTGTATTTTCAACTGGACTCCTTTCCTCAGTTGCAATGTAACTCCTAATATTATTAATATTAGAAGTTTATTAAAAGTCATGAAATAGGTCCTAAGAATCTATATTGTTATTTTAGATCGTTTCATGTTCCTCAATTGGAGCCTTCCTTCACATTAATGAAATGCTGTCAATTAAGCATTACGCTGTGTATTCAATTGTAGGTAAAAAAAGTAATAAATAATCACTTGAATAAATTTTCTTCCTAGTCCGGTAGGCGTTTTGATGCTCTTAGAACCCATACTTATAAAGCTGTTATATTGTAACTTGATTCATTTCCCTTGATTCATTTATTCCTCCATAACTTCGAGGAAGTTCGAATTTGAAGAGGTTGTTGTCATCATACGCAAAAGTTGTTAAGATGTTCCTCGTTTATTTTCCTAACTTCTCTTTCCCTTACAATGTTGTAAGAGTTAAATTATATAGCAGGGTACGACGGTTATAACGTTAGTACTACTCACCGAAATAAAAGGAGTTTTTAGCTTTCGTATGATTACGTGAGGGAAACTCTTCAAACCAAATTCATCATCCGAACATTTTGGATCGTTGCCATATCAAGGACGACCCAGAAATCAATATATCGCACATTAATAACCGGATATCTATCGTACGCCCGTTTCAATTCGAACGAAGCGTGTGTCGATATGTGTGCTGTGATGTAAGGAACAGATAAGTCAGAGGTTGGCGCGTTAGTAATCGTACGAACATTTCGACGCAAAAAATAGAATTATAATAGCAGTTACGATAACCGGAAACTATTAATTCACAAAACATTTGCATGGAAACGTTTAGTTTCTGGAATCTAAATCTGTCACATGAAGTACATTAATCACTGGTTTTCTTTTCATATAAACGTGCAGACGGAGAATCTTGAAAAGATCCCAACTTTGCAGATAATAGAAAAAAGGACTGTCCTCTACTACAAATCACGACCACCTTGGTTATGCCTTGTAACAAGTGATTTTGATTTCCGTTGTTTACTCCTATTATATATTGCTTCATTTAAACTTGGGATGACCCACAACTTTAAATTTTGTGATTGATTATGATCAATTAAGTTTCTTTCAATTAGTTCTCAGCACGCTTTTTTAGATGGACAAACTTTCTTTTTGGGGGAATTTAGTTTTTGAACCTGGGTTCCAGAAGGGCTTACGCCACTGCTTTACAGTTTACAACAGGTTTGCAGGTTACAACAGTTCTAAACTTCGGCCTTCGGGCCACATGAGTTACCTTGCTGGACTTTTCAAAATATGTGTGTCCTTGATCAATATATTTTACCTAATGCTATTTGAAGTTTGAAGAAATTATTTTTGTCATGTTTTGTTATAATCAGATAGTTATGAAAAAAATATGCTAGCAAATTATTTTGACCCATGTTATAATAATGCCAAAGAAATAACCTTTGAAGTGATTTGTAGAATATATAGAATATACAATGGACAGAGTCCTATGCTAATAGTCATTAAACTCATTTTCGGTAAGAAAACTTTGAAAACCATTAGAGGAACCACTACTTCTTATTGAGGATGTACGTCATTGTAATTTACATTATGTATTTTAAAAGAAGCGAAAATAACAAGGATAGAACATACCGTGTGTTTTGTGTTGAATTTCAACAAAGAGATAGTATGAAATTCAAGTGGAAGTAATGGTAAAAGAAAATAGTGTGGAGGGGACGGGGTAAAAGAATGGAAAGAAATGGTGTGAAATTGCGGCGAACGTTGACGTGCTTCAGCAAATCTCCTTTTCCTTCAGAGGAGCCCGACGCGAGGCCCCTCCAGTTCGAGGAGGATGGGAGGAGGCTATTTAGCTCCCCGACGGAAAGGAGAGGGAAGGGATGAATGAGAGTTAGTCGTTTTTTCCCTCCGCGTCTTTACCTCTAATGAAGATCCCTTTTCTTTCCTTTCAATTCGGTTCAATTTACTTGGGATGAGAGTGAAAATGTATATGGTGCGTTGCTTCGAGCAAAAAGTGAAAGGCAAAAGTAGTTGTAGACTGGTTT